CATCATGAGCAAACCGAAACAATGATAGTCCTGCCTGCTTTGGCCATTCTTTCTTGCGCCCCCCAGAGTCTACGCCCTGTGCCTGGGCACCGGTGGCACCGCCCTATTTACGGCACTGACTGTGTGCTGATACATAAACAGAAAATTATGATTTTGGTAATTCAACTCACCTATCTCACCATGTTTTCCAAAAAACGCACTTCCACTTGATTTTCTTGACTATTAGTCTACCTCAAAAGTCAAAATTCACACTTTATTGTGAGACACATCAAACACAACACAACACAAACCACGCCGTCCGTCATAACCACGACAGCATCATCTCTCAAAATGGCGAATATTAGCAAAATAGCACAAAGTGAGAAAGATACGTGTCTGATTCGAATCAAGTTCGTGATAATAGTCCCACGGATAATGGTAAAAGTACGTCACATAAAATGTTCTGTGGATGAAATAAGAATACTTTGGAGAAGGCGTTGGAATATTGACTCAAATAAGATCACATAGACGTGCATAGGTCAGTTTACTGTTACGAAACAGCGATGTGTATCTGGGGATGTAGCAGAGTCAGCCCAAATAAGAGACGAATTAAAACGTCCCAGAAATATGTTATTATCACTTATAAAAGATGTAATCTCAAAAAGGTCACCAAAGGTACAAGAAATTAACGTTACCAAACATCCCCGGGATGTTCCTTGCTCAGTGGGCGGCTACTTCTTGACTACCTAATATTACTCATACATCGATAAATTCTACCCAAAATACCCGTCACCTTTTACATAACCCTGTGTGTCATCAATAGATCGACACTCATTAATCTAGAAGCCCTATACAGGGCGTATAGGTACGTATAGCTCTTGGATACGATACTCTCTCACATATCTTACTTACATTTCATGAGTCCAAGCCACTGATTATCATCTTGGAATGTTAGCTTATACAATATAAATTGACAATGATTAATCTTGATGATACTGTCTCGTTTTGATGGTGATCAATGATTACGAAATCCGATGAATCACTGCACCTTATCCTGATAAGGCATATTCCTTCTCATTTGATTGGGGTGATTTGAACCTCGTAGCTAACAATATATATATATATAAAAATAATATCTGTAACAATCAGGAAATATCTAAGCAATAACAATAGATATTCTAGTTATATTTATGACTCTCGTCAGCACCAATATGTGATGACTGATGATAGGCAAATACCGGCAAATACCGTTAATGAAAGCATTCGACACTTTGGAACGCTTATCATACAAATAAAATGTCCAAATGCAAATCAGGTAGCCAGTATAGAGCTTTTATCTGTCAATTTGCATAGTACAAACAGATTTCAGTTGTTTTCACTAACGCAAATAATCCAGTTAGAAGGCACCGTTGAAGTAGGAATAAATTGGAAAATCCCCGTATATTTTATGCTTTTAGAATGAATCACAAAAACAACTCGAAAAATAATCTATACCTATACCATATATGTATATTATGTAATTAGGTATACCTTTATAGTACACCGTGTCCCAACTAAAATATGTCCCTCCCTGAATATTCATTGTGACCCGTTGCGATCAATCTGTGCGCATAAATTTGTGATTTTCTTTTTCATTTCTTCCATATTCACAATTGGCGACTCATAAACCTGTTGTTTCAAGTAGCCCCACAAATAAAAATCAAGTGGGGTGAGGTCTGGCGACCGAGCTGGCCAGTTGCTATCACCATCAAGACAACTGGTCGTTTTAGACGTTCTCCAAACCGATGGCGAAGATAATCCTTTACGGGTCTGTAGTTATGTGCAGGATACCCATCATCCGATTTTAATCGTGTTATATTAATAAAATCAAATCATATAAATTTTTTATTGAATCGATTTATTTTTGGCCATATCTTCGTAGTCGTTTGAAGAAATCCCATCAAACCCGGCATTGTTGAATTTGTAATAATGAACTCTATACTTAAATATGGAATAATATACTGGGTGTCCCTATTCAAATAAGAAAGTTGTGTTGCACTTCGGTGTGACCCTGTATACCTACGATTTATTCAATAGCATATTTCGAGTGAGCATCATCAAATATACTGGATGACCAAATTTCAGGTCATTCAATCGCGCGGTTGATTTTTTACAGGGAGGGACATTTTAGTTGGGACGCGGTTGTATAGTATATACAACAAGCGGGGGTCAAATTTCGACTTGCTAAAGCATATAATATCAAACCAGATAATGAATGATTGAAAAAATTCCCAAAATGCTGCATTCTGGAATAAAAGCGAGTTAATTTGATATGAACTAGATCTAAACTGATGTATTTTGAATGAATCCGTTCCAAAATCCAAAATCTATTAATTATTATGCTTGATATAATTTATTATTCATCATTATCGACACTTATTGTCATTGCTCCTATAGTGTATATCATGTATATTTTCATCACCTTGAATATTGATTCAATCATAACATCATCAGGCATGAATGATTATTTTATCATAGGTTTATTTAATTTTCATATGGATATTACCTACTGATGTCTTTTGAGTGATATTTCAACAATAGTATATGTAAGTATAACTGATCACAAGCCAATAATAGATACCTAAGTGATTGATTTATATTTTTTCGATAGATTTTTGCATTGATGGACGGATCCATCAATGGAGTGTTAGGTAAATTCGCTGGTCGATTCTATCTTGGATGCAGCAATCCATTTAAAAGTCATAGGTGGCTTTGGGAGTGATTCATTGGCAGTTTCTGACCGCAGAAGTGAACTTTTAATCCTATTTAAAGCGGTCGTTATAAATAATAGTAATCGCGTCGACTAGAGAGTGGACGAATAATATGCATGAATACACACCGAATGGACAGTAGAGGATTAGAATTGCCTGGATATAGCAGCAGCAGCTTCATTTCCTATACTGATATCTCGTTCCATGTGGAAAGTGTGCATATTGAAAACAACATGGAGGATTTCATAATACCTTATTGGGTAATAGTTTTTTATATACACCAAGGTAGTGAAGAATATCATCATTTCCCCGGGGCCAAGATTATACAGGGTGTCCCACTAAGGTCGGCGAGGTACGACGATATGGAAACCATAAACCTTACAGCGAAGTTACTATGATACAACGAGAAATTCGAATTATCTCAAAAAATCACTGTGTGAGGTGATTTTTTGTTAACGGAAATGAAAAGATCATTAATTTTTACGGGTTTTTTCGTTTCCAGACTTTTTTTCGTATCTTCAATGATAATGTTGGGGAAGCTTGTGAATAAAATATTTTTCAAATTGCTGTATCTTCCATACCCCTCATCCAAATTTAATCAACTTGGGCAACTCGAAGACAAATAAGGATATTGAATCGCGGTCTGCGCCAAAATATAGCTATATTTTCATGCTCTTCAAGATCAATGAAGCAAATATGCATCATTCCATACGAATTTTTCAATAGAATCCGAAAAAATCGAATAGTCGGCAAAACGACGCCTTCTATGAGAAGCGATTCAAACTAGCGACCGTAAACGAAGTCAGCCTACGTTGACTGAATTTTGATAAGGGTTATGGAAGATACAGCTATTCGAAAAATATTTTGTTCACAAGCTTCCCCCACCATTTTTATTGAAGATAAGAAAAAATGTCAGGAGACGTATAATTATCTTTTCGTTTCCGTTATCAAAAGATTACCTCACGCAGCGATTTTATGAGATAATTCGAATTTACCGTTGTATCATGCATATCAACTTCGCCCCCTAGTGGACATTTTGGGAGTTTGAAAATATTATGAATTAATTTCATTTATTAACTAGTTGTTTATAAAAGAAATGACGAAAACTACCTTGGTAGTAAAAACACACTTCACGCCCCGAAAAGTAGTAAATAATGGTAGGTTTTGTAGCTATGGTGGTGGAAAAAATTATTATATTTAATTTATTTGATCCTCAATCGAAATGCACTTACCTAAATATATGATGCGGGTCACGTGGAGTGAAGAATCAATGAACTGATTGCTTTGCTTCACAGCATTACAGCTACTCTTGACTATAGGAAAATAGATAGGAACTCCATATTTTTGCAGGACCTATATACATATAGCTTACCTTCGTGAATTGTGAGTAATTCTTATAAATCTTCCGTCTAAATATTTTCCTTGTATGATTACTGTGTTCAGTCAAACTCAAAGTATATATGGTCAGAGTTGAATTATTCCTGAATATATATCTGATCCTGACAGATACACAGAGTGCTTTTCTTTAATGCCCCCCCCCTCTTATTCTATTTTTTGAACGGGTCAACTGAAAAAAATCGAACTAGGGATCTCACTTGGGATAATGAAATTGATGTATGAATACAATATATTTTGGAGTGGAATTAACATATGACAATTTCAAGATGGCTACTGGGCGCCATATGAAGCTCCTGATGAATACCTACTTCCACCATTTTGTAGTAGGTGAAGATAGCGACAAATAAATTCAAATTCAAGAATAACTCGTACGCCCCTGGGACATGCTATGGACATTCCAGAGGACGTCGTATGGACGTTCCAAAGGATGCCCTATAGACATTCCAGAGGACCTCGGTACGGCACAAAAACAGAATGTTTTATGAACTTGTTGAAAGGACGACCATTGAATGATTTCCCGAAGAGGTCCAATGTATATCCCTGAGAAATATCCTTTTTTAGTGAGAAGTCGAGACATTTGTACTTCGAACGGACGTACTATGGATGTCCGCGGTACCAAGAATGCATGTCCTATGGACGTCTTGAATGGTCTTGCCTTATGAATTTGGATTGGGATATCCACAAAATATGATAGAATAAAATACAGTTTATTAAAATATTGACAAATTACAAAGGCAAACATACTAAAAGCATTCGTTGGAATATGGTATCATGAATGACCATGAGAATCGCCTCAATTTGATTGGCATTTATGTATATAGAGCAAGTTTCATTTGGAATCGATAAGAGAATTTAGTTGATCGATAGTACTTATTATTTCTTCGAGAGCAACGAATCGTATGATGGTGGTGCTGAAACAGAAAAAGAGAACAACATTTCAACAACTATCAAACTACACACACTGGTACAATTAGGGGAACGGGCAAAATTTACACTAAGTTTGACATCAATTTTCTTTCGAACCGATCGCTCGATTCAAATTTTTTTCTTCACGAAATGTAGCTTCATTCTTCACGAATACATCTGAGAAATAATTACCTTCAAACGATGAGTCTTTCCATCATATACAGGGGTGTAAAGAAAGTACGGATTTTTCGGTATTTTTCCAGACATCCTGTGGACTGAACAACTGATAATTGAAACGATTTCTCAATACCAAATTGGAGCCCAATCTATTCCGAATATTTTCGTTTTTTATTCATCTTGATATCTCAATTATTCAAGAAAATACAGAGTTTCAAAGGAAAGGTGGATATTGGTATCAATTTTACACCTCAAAACTCAAATTGGATCTGAAAATGTATCGTTTCTTGACTAACCTAACCTAACCATGACTTAACCTCTGCCATCGGAGACAGAGGCAGTAAAATCAAATCGTTCATTTTGTTCACCTCGGCGATATAGTCTTTCCCTGCCATCTATTGAATTGGTGCAGATGCGGCTCTCATAATTATGTTAAAAGAACATTGGCCCACTGGTCATTTTCAATTAATGCTACAGCCCTCGCCACATCAGTAGGAGTCAAATCTCTCACGTTGAATTTTCATTATTCAAATTCATGAATTGTGAATCGCTTGGCTTTGACAATAATTAATGACATTAACAAAATAGCCAACGTTGATTAACAAAAATGGCATTTCACCAAAAGAACATTGGAGCAACTTTTATCACCCCTGCATATTCATGAGAGTATTCGTATATGTGTCTTTAAACAGTAAACCGATAGGTAAAACTGTGAACAATTCTCATCTTGAAGTAAAAATCCTCACAGAAACAAGTTGAAAAACGACACGTTCTCCCCAGTTCGAGTTTCCGAGGTGGTAAAATTAATACCATAATATCCACCTCTTCTTTGAAACTCTATATTTTCTTGGATAATTGGGATAACAAGAAGAATAAAAAACGAAAATATTCGGGATAGATTGGGCTATAATTTGGTGTTGGAAAATCGTTTCAATTATCAGTGGTTCACTCCACAGAATGTCTTAAAGAATAATCCGTACCTTTATAACACCCCTGTATATGATATAAAGACGAATCGTTTGGTGGTGGTTATTTCTCAGATGTATTCGTGAAGAATGAAGGTACAATTCGTGGAAAACAAAAATTTGAATCGAGTGATTGGTTCGAGAGAAAATTGATGTCAAACTTGTGTAAATTTTGCCCGTTCCCCTAATTGTGCCAGTGTGTATAGTATTGTTTCATAGATTGATGAGCAATTCGGTATACTTGCTACCCACCAATTCTCAAAACCCTATCTAGAAATAATTCGAAAGTTACAATCCTGGCTGTTTTTTGTGAACTTCTCTGTATATGATATTTAGTTACCTATCAGATTACGATCAAAATTTGCAGCCAGCTCTCCTGGAATAGGACTTTATACATACAAGTTGTCCCAGAACAACGCACCATAAATTCTACAGGGTGAACTAGAAACCAAAATAGACCGATTGGAATTAACTTACCTGTATACGAAAATGCACCGTTGGGAATTAATTGTACGTTGTTCTGGGACACCTCTTGTATGAACTGTAATGGATAAATGAACAATAACCATAGCATTTTCAACAAAACTCACGCAATTGCGAATTGAACCCTTGCTCGTCCCCATTCAGCGGCGGAGCGCTAGGGACCGCAGGAGGGTACACCGACACGGCCCCAGGGGGTGGAACGAACCCCGCCGGAGGCCCCTGCTGGGGATACGGAGGGTTTGAATCCCCCTGCGGACCCGCCAAGTGAGGCTGGTACCCCTTTTCGCCGCTAGGTGGGTACGCAGCGGCAGTGGGGTAGCCTCCTGGCTGCCCAGAGATTTGTCCTATTGGGATGTTGCCCAGTTCGGGGTACATGTCGATCTCCAGGTTGCTGTGAACTCCTGGCAGCTTAGCGACTATCTGGAAGGGACATGATTACCTTAAACACTGTCTGTAGTAGGTTAATCGAGGAGGTGGTACATTCATTTTAATTGATTATTATTACATTGGGTTTGTGTCTCCTAGTTGCTATAAAATAAGAAAATGAGTATTCTTTCAATATACAGTGTCATTCATAAAGTCGGCATCATATGGGAAAAACTTTTATTAATGACTTATCTTGAAATTCCAGTTGAACGTCAAGTTTTGCTTAAGAAAAGATGAAAAATGACCTACTCAATCGGGGTCACGTGACTTTCGCTACATGTCAAAAGTGACATTTTTTCAAATTAATCGCTGAAAATAGGTTTATTTGTTCGAATATCGAAAAAGTTCACTTGAAAAAGTTGTTTCTATTCGAATTTCACATATGTGACTCGGATTTTATCTTTCTATTACACTTATTAGATTTCGATATTTTTTAAAAATTTTCGAAATTTCTGTAATATTAAAAAAATTGTAAATTTGATAAAACTACTTCATACCAGTAGCTTCATCATGTTACTAACTTTTAATGACTAATTATCACTAATTATCGACAAAAATATGATTTTCTTCAGAAAATGATAATCTCCTCTTCAAAATTCTGTTATGTTTGATGCAAACATAACATAAAAATTCTGTTATGTTTGAGTCAAGCATTTAGAAACGAAATTCATTTAAATTTATTTTTTCAGTAATGAAAAGATCAGTTTAAATGAATTTCGTTTCTAAATGCTTGACGATATATCAACTTTGCATCAAACATAACAGAATTTGGAAGCGGGTATTATCATTTTCAGAAGAAAATCATATTTCTGTCCATAATCAGTGATAATAAGTAATTGAAAGTAAGTAGCATGAAAAAGCTACTGGTATGAAGTAGTTTCGTGGAATTAAAAATTCTTCAAATATTACAGAAATTTCGAAAAATTAAAAAAAAAAACAAAATCTAAAAGTTGCAATAGAAAGATCAAAGTCGGGAAGCATGTGTAAAATTGAAATAGAAACAACTTTTTCAAGTAAACTTTTTCGATATTCGAACAAATAAGCCTACTTTCAGCGATTAATTTGAAAAAATGTCACCCCGATTGAGTAGGCCATTTTCCATCTTTTTCGAAGCAAAACCTAACGTCCAACTCGAATTTCAAAATAAGTCAATAATAAAAGTTTTTCCCATATGATGCCGACTTTATGAATGACACTGTATATGTAAAAAGACAAATCAGATGATCTGCTCCAAAATATCACTGCGTTTAACCATTTTTTCTATAAGGGAGCCACACTTTGGAGAAATGTTTGAAGAAAAGAAATATTGAGAAACAATAATAATAATGTAATTTATGATGATGACGTTTTAAAAAATATGAGTTGACCAAGAAATGGTCATTTGAATAAAACCATCGACGTGTCGTCATTATTTTTTAATGAACCCAGCAAACAATTTGTATACCGTCAGACCTGAAATTGAAAAGAAAGAAGTGACCGGTCACCGCGTTCGAACCTGCGAGCTTTTGATTACCAACTGATAGCCATTTTCACTTCTTGGTAGATGTTGACTACGGATAACTTATGAGTACTATCAATGAATACTTATAATAATCATATCATAACAGGGAACAACAATGTTCAATTCTCCGATAAAGTAGACGAGTTTCTGTGACTCACCTGAGTTTGTTGTGAATGTCTTAGTGAAATATGATGACTCCATTATAGGTGGTATAGGTTTATTTACCATAATCAGCGAGCAAATATCGGATACCTACGTATACAACGGAATGTTGAAGAACGAAAAGTAATATAATAGGTGAATTGACGTTTACTATTCCTCCATCACTGTCGAAAGGATCACTTTATATATAGGTAGCACTAGAAGATAATGAAGATATACCTTGAGAGTGGGGAGACTTCGTTTGTCAAAATTCAACAATTAGGTATACTCAATTCACCTACTATATCTACATTAGAAAACTATTATTGATCATAAAGTTTGCAGAAAAAATATTTCATTATTTACAATCGTATCAAATGATGTAATTAAGTGTTTGCCAATATTCCGTTTTGAATTTTTTTATTATAAAGTATTGATATCATTCCATCTGAATTACACAGGAGAGGGCTGATGTGTAGGTTGATGATGATGAAGTCTGGTAAAGTGCGAATGCCTTTTGTTGGCCCGGTGCCGGCTGGATTATAGTTGAATGATTTCTATATACCATACAAAGGGCCGATGTTTAGACGACGTAGTGAAATATCATCACGATTTGATACTACTGGTCCAGTGCTGGCTGGTTCATGAATAAACGATTACAATATACCATACAATGGGCCGACGTTCGCCCGTTGCAGCTCAGCCGATGCCAGCACTCTCCCGACTGATCATGCATTGGGCCAGAAGGCGGCCAGCAATCTTCCTCATTTCTCGAAAATAGTGCTATATATGAGAAGAAATGAGGAAAAAATATGACGACCATACACAAAAATTCGATATTTTTGATGGTATCATCAAAATAGGGTATTGCCATTGGGAAAAAAACATGATACGTCATAACTCGAACAGTGATTTGACGTCATCAAATATATGGGTAGACCAAAAAATGCGCAACTGAAATAGAAAATCGACGTGTCTGAGCGTTTTTTCCGCACTGCCCATATTAGACTTTCAATGTATTCGTTCCAATCTTCACGTGACCACTGTATAATGGTGACGTTGGAATTTCAGCTCACCTTGTATTTATAGTCCACTGAGAACAGATTGCATTTGGTGAAATTCGGTATCATCACGTTCATGGGTAACATGACCGGGAAAATATAAGTGTGTTCACCATGAGCTCCTAATCCAACCTCATCAATACTGATAAGGATATTTTCAATCAAGTTCTCGTCAGGTGATGGATATAAAACCTTACAAGTTATTTTCTGAAATAAAAACGAATATATTAATGGAAAGTTCCGTAAAAATCACTTCTGTGAGGCCTGACAATACAAATTTGACAGATGACGAGACCGTCACATGAAATGATATCAAGGCACACTATGTTAGGAAGCTTGTGATATCAATCAACGGTAAAAATCACCTGTTTCAATTTCAATTCGACGCCTTCTATATTAGTGTTCGACATATTTGTTAGTCTGGCTGTGATGTTGACGGTTTCTCCTGGTATTTGTGTTCTTTTAGGTAGTTCTACGTCGATTGATATCGGCCCTTCGGCACAACACCAACAGCATAGCGTTTTATCATCCGAATACGAAGTTGACTCCTAGAAAGATGATGAGTATTCATGATCAATGGTTGAATATGATCCAGCATTCGAATCATATTTTGACGGAAACTGCAGCGGTTGCATTTCGTCTTGGAGGTTTTTGAGTTGGCAACAATCTTCATCGGTCATTTGCGACTTTAAAATGTCATCAGAGATGTATAGAAATTTAACTGGTGCGCTTGCTCCCTATTGAAGGTCGTTTGCAAGTTTCTCGATGGCGCCTACTCTGATAAACCTTTGATAAAAATACTTGACGTGGGTAAATCTCGCTAAGCTCATCCTGGTTACAAATCATATTTACAGGAAACATATTACCGACCGATAAATATTTGGATACATATATGATTTGGATCAGAGCAGTGAACTGATTCCTGATCAAAGGATCGAAACGTCAATATGTCAAAAATATTCTTGAGCTGAAAAAATGGTTATTTCTGAGATTGGGGTCATGTGTTCGTTAGGGACGTGTTCCGTAGTTTCTAATTTTTGTGTATAATACCTAATCCACCTTAGAAAAAATAAAATCTCTGTTCTACAACAGTATTATTTCAGTGATTTGAAATATTAGCGTGAACTGGTGTGAATAAATTCTAAGGCCTATGATGATGATTTTCGATATTGGTCTATTTCAATAGTTGATACATTCTTTGTTCTGGTTCTTCAAAGAGGAAATTCATCAGATAATGAAAATGTTGAGCACAGTATTTATTCGACCACAGAACAATGATGGAAATAGATTCATCCCTCAGAGAACCAAGGTTTTGAACGATTTTCCGATTATGTCGCCTCTATCGCAAATACCTGAACCCCACGTTCAAAACTCGCTTGCAATTGTTCCATATCGAGAGTTAGTCTGACGAAACAATTGAAGAGTGAGCCCACCAGTCAAATTTCTATACATCTCTATGTCATCGATGTCAACTGTCATTACGCAGTCCGGGATACCGGTAAAGTTGAATGTGAATCACTATCAAAATTAATATTTTTACTGTGTTATATGTTTATGTAACTCATGACCAAAAGCCAATTCACATTATCATAGACAAATTAGAGTTTTTCAGGAAATAGGTAATATGTAAATGAGATATAGAAAGAAAATACAATAATGAAAGATCACTGGAGTATTTGCATTTTGATGACACTAATGAGAGAATATTGCAAACTTAAGAACCCGCAAAAAAATGTAACCGATAGCTATTGACCATACATACTTATTTCAATTGGAAAAATTTTGATATTGGTAGAATTGCACTAATAATGCGATGAATTTTTTTTCGAAATTTTGTTTCGGTACTTACGTATTTTTGTCTAGAAAACACGAATTTCATAATGAAAATGTGAACGAACCATTATTTATTATGATATTTCACTATAAAGTTACAAATTTCACCTTCTTTTCCGCCGGTCTTCTGGATCGCATATAGAACAATAATTGCCCTTCTTTCTCCATCATTGGACAATTTATATATCACAATGTACGACACATTTTTTCTATTATTCTATTATATAAGTCAACTAGCAATATGATTTTGTGATTTATCCATGTTTAGTGAACAGAAGGAAGAATATAATTTGGCGTGTGTAATGTAATTCAAAAATAATCTGTTGACTTTTGACATCTCGTATTTGGATTGACTATTGACTAAATTGCCGTCATCTGCCGTATGCTTGTTCACTAAATATGAAAAAACTCTCCATAAAAATCATATTTCCTGATGAATTTTCTATATAAATGGGGAAAAAGAAGGCGAAATTTCGAACTTTTTCTTGAAATATCTCGATAAATAGTGGTTTTTTCACATTTTCATCATCAAATTCATGTTTTTCAGGCAAAAATACGTAAGTGCCAAAAAAATTTTCCAAAAAAAAACCATCGCATGATAAGTGCAAAATCACCTAGATATTTCGTGCTGATTTTCGGCAGCAATAATTACTGTCGAATGGAGTGTTATTTATCAAAGGCTTTGTCTTTTTTCGATGTTGATTACAATTCGTTTGAGAAACGAATGGTTACAGAGGTTATGGTACTTGCACGCTTTTCAATAAAAAACCAAGAACTCAAAGTAATTTCCACAGAATAAATCATCAAGAAATGAGTAACAATGATAAATGACGGGAGACAAACAACTACTTTCCAGGCTAACGCTGGCTGCGGCTATTTTCAATAATTAGTAATTCAACAGTTTCTATCTCCACATACAATAATTTTGACGGAGATGCTTATATTTGTTTGACATCCGACATTTGACAATATTGGAGCCAACTACAAGATTGAATTTCTAACCCAGATAATATATTCAATCGGATGTAATTGACGATATCAATTATATATTTAACAGACCAAATTTCTCAATTCCTCACCAACAATTCTGGTTTTTGCAACATATTGAGGTCCACTAGAGCCGTAACGAGGAAAATGATTTCATCTTCGTAATCAAAGGCCATAGGGCGATCGACAACCGCCTTTAGTAAATAACTGACAGAACCATGTTCACAGTTGAAGGTCCCTGGTATGTCAAAAGGTAAAGTCACGTTGAACGGATAGATGTGCTGACCAGCTGATAAAGCGGTTGTACCAGTTTCTGGAAAAGAAACAATAGTAGATTGTTTCATTAGGATCAGAAATGACACTTTGTTTGACAAGTGAATTTTGCATTTGCGAGGCGGAGGGTTTAGCGAAGCCGAGCGGAAGCCAAATTTACGAGTCAGACAAAATCACTTTTGATCCGAATGAAACATGCTATTTTTCTGCAACCGAAACAATTAACTCATATAAATATGTGAAGTAACCACCAATGACGTGCTATATACGTATGCAATGCAGCAAATTACCAGCAGGTTATTTATCAATTTTCAAGGATGTTCAAATTGTAGTTTCGATATAATTACAATCACAGAGTGACATATTTGTGTATGGACCAGATGCTCTAATGGCAGTGCCAGGTATTTAGGAACAAGACGTGGAAAATGTTAGGTTAGTGAGCATATCAACAATAATAATAGCGATTATTTATTCCTCTCCATACTTCACTGTGTTTGGTTTGATAATCGAGGTAAACAATATCGTTGTTTGAGACAAAAAACTATATTGCTGGCCGTGATTATTCAAAAACAAGTTATCCATCCAGAGAATAACGAATGAAATACAGATCATGCAAGTATTTGAATCTTGAAGGCTTCCCTGATCAAAACAGAAATACTTAACTGAAATGTTTATAATTCAAATACTAAACTATAATAAGGTGTATTTATATCTCCAGCATGGGTATGAAATGCCAAATCTGCTGAAATCGGAAACAAATCGTATGCGTCTCAACCCACATAACTAACCGTCACAATGTTGTTTATTCTTTATGACGTCCAGTACATCCTTTTTAGTTCCTAGGAGCTAAATTCAACTTTAGCTGCTAGGAACTAAATATGTTGCCTAGCAACATACCTATTTTTGTGTCAGTAATAGGAACGTCAATTTAAGAGCTAATTTTGGTATCAAAATGGACGACTTTTGTGTCGGTTGCAGAATAAAATGTATATTCGCTTTGGAATTGTAAAAATGTGTGTAGGTATGAATATTATGAATAAGTCTGTTAAAATATAGAATAACACTTACGACCTCCATAGAGAATCAGCTCAGTAGCAAAAGCATCATTATCTCCCTGTAAGAGTACTTGTCTATCTCTTCGTTCATTGGTTAGTGGATCCAAATAAGATTCTTCTCCCATCCATTCGGTATGTTCACGGCAAGCTAATCTAATTTTTACACCTGAGAAATCACTCGAAATGTTTAAAAAATATCGAGGTACCTATATATTCTATTATAATTTTTTGCAATCCCAATGAAAAAAATGTTTTTCTCACGAAAGTCTTAGAAACACACCCGAACATGTCACGTTCTTGAGAGTTTTGCAGAAATACTATTGTTTGAGAAGTGTTTACAATTATTGCGAGACCTTTTTAATTCTTGTTTGTTTAATTTCTGGATACTTACTTCTCAAAGTAGTTTGACTATTGAAATTGAGTATAACTTTTCCTTGAATCTGGCTTCCGGGGTAGTATTGTCCAGCATAGTTGTCTAGCCATACTTTACATTGAGCCATATTTGATAAAGCTGCCTAGAATGTTCCTGAAATGAAACAAAACCTTGTCAATTATGTATACATTTACCATCTGATTTGTTCAAACTATATATAAGTATGTGGAAATGATATACTAGGTATAGGTAATATTTATATTCAGGTATAGAAACAAGGAGAAACAATTGAAAAAATGTAGGTGAATGAATGTTCTTCGATATTAAGACAGTACTTGGACGATGACAACTCCGAAATCGAGTGATTCTAAAAAAATTGTTAATTAGATAGATAGATAGATCTCTTATATCACAAAAAAAATTTATTTCATAATTCGATAGAACTCACCCAAACTAGCTCACCACAGCAAACCGTTTCTTGCTGTGAGCTCCCTACGTTTTATAAAAAATTATCCGATTTTTCGGACCTCTGAAAACGAGGCGATGATGTGACGTCAAAACCCTAATACTGAAACAAGACTATTCCAGACAAACATGAATGATATATGATTTCTGACAGAGTGAATTAGCGCGAGATCACAGTTGAAAGAATTAATATATCAGTTGCCTCAGTCTCCGTCGGGCGTTTGGTATTTTCTTTTAACTATGGCGAGATGAGGTTTCTACGTCATAAGAGGGTCCGTTCTCAGAAAGTACTATCATTTATGTCCAAAAATAAAACATTCCAGTTAATTTTTCGATCGAATTATGTCGTCAATCATTATTTATGTATAAAATGATCATTATAAACATGGTTTGGGTTAAAAGTTCTACTAAGGTGTACAGGCCCATAAGGCATCTTAATAGATATATTATGTATAAATGAATAATGAATAATCATAAGAGAGAAAATATAAACTATGAATGAGAAATACTGTGAATATAAAACTAAAGAGGAATAATGTATAATTCAATCATACAATATGACTAATTATTGATGGTAAAAATATACATAAACTTATATGCACAAAATCTGGCACACTCATACAATTGCAGTGAAGAAAACTTGAAATATATATGAACATAACAATTTATAATGAAGCAAATGTAAAGCAAGGCACTGATTACAAGTTGTAAATCAACATACATTACTGCCGAGACAGATGCTGTTGAATTTAGTGATTTTTAATTAGGATTTTTTTTAATGTAGTAAGAGTGGGACTGCTTTTTAGTATATCATTATATTTATGCTTTGTCTTCATTTTCAATTTCGAATTCGTGTTTTTTTGCATCAAGAAACAAAATTACGACGAAAAAGCTTCCTCAAAACAATATAAAAATCAACGAATGTTTTGCGTCAGCTGGAGAAAAAAATCAATCGGATGAGATTTTGCTTTTTTATAACGTTCCTTATAGAATGTAGCAAGACAATGTCGACAATGACTAATAAATATTTTATGTTTCTATAGCAACATTCACCAATGCCCCAATGTTCCGCCCATGTACTACACTCCCAACAACACGTCATTATTTCGATTTCACGCGTGCGTGCATGAGCATTGAGATCGGGCCGGGAGTGACTGTTCGACTCAGCGTTGCCGTTTTTGGTACGATTGTTATTTTCTAGTACATTTCATACGCATCTATAGTACGTCAATACGATTGACAACAATCTAGTACGAAAACAAAAGTCTGATAGCCCAAGCTATTATTGCATACATAGCAATTATAAGGAGAAAAAATAAATAAATAGGTGCGTTTTTCAGTCCAAAATTATATCATACGGATGAATCGAAGAAACCATTGGATTGTTGATGAAAATCCATCAAACTGTTGTAGTAAAATGCGCACTTTCGAATCGCTTTGTGAGAATCTAGCGGTTTGATAGAGACTGACATGACAATTGACACATTTTAAGTATTATTCTTTGTCTGAATTTGATAGAAAACAAAATGTATTGAGGATTTTTAAGATTCTCGAGAGATTTCAGGAGATAGAGTTACTATTAACCAATGAAATCCATATAAAATCATATCAGCCTCTTCTGATTCTGAAAATACATGACAGACTGCGATGACATACAACGAAATACGTCAAAAAAGCGCATCTATCATAAATGATTGAACTCCTAATGAAAGCTGTTATTGATGAAACGTTCATAATTTCCAAGTAAAAAACATAGACGACATCAATATAAGCTATAGTTATTGATGTATTGATTTGTCTTTGGAGTTTGAGTCATTGACTTCATCTTATTGATATATGATCAATATAGTAGTTGATCTCAATCTATGATCTATAATCTGTTCTTTTTCATTTCATAATATGCTTCTTATTTTCTTTTATTATATCTTTCCTTATTTTCGACATACTGTTCTATCACTTCTGTTTTTCAGTGGTGATTCATGTGTTGTATTCTATTTTTTTCATCAAAAGTTTGATTCGCAAATTTCAGTGTCATTTTTTCAATTTAGTACAATTTACTTGAATTTAGTACAATATCGGAATGACTTTTAGTACAAATTGAAATTCTGAATCGGCAACACTGCTTGAGGTTGAGACCTTCAACTTTCAACCAACAACCGGTGTTGATGAGATAGACATGTATGTGAATTACGTACTTACCAGAAAAATAAAATGTTCTTTAGCACCACTAAAACGTTTGTTAGGCACTTATCCGGGAATCGGCCAAATTTCTTCGCTTTTGCCCGTGGATCTGGATTCTCTTGGTTTTTACATAACCACAAAACTGCTGCGACTCTCCCAACCCAAGAAACGACTCTAGCCAGAGGCGTGTCTTGTCTATGTATTTTGGGATCGAACGGGAAATTCTTTGTCGTGGAGTAGGTCATGAACCGGATCTAATCAAAGTTTGCAGAGACGTAGTCGTAGTGGTTTAGGGTTCATAATATGTATATATATTTTAGAAATTATCAAGAAAATGTATACAGGGTTACTAGTAATTCGACACATCCCTCTGGTGATGTGATATTGTAGGTGGTAAAGAGTGATGTTAACCCTATATGGATCATGCAAAAGTTGATAGCTTTCGAAATATCTAATTTTTTCGGTTTATCTCCAAAAGGTGAACTTCCCGGGTTTGAAAGTTGGTTTTCCGAAAATCTGCTGTATATTTTTTCAAACGTTCAACTAGGATACATATGATTAAAAAAACATCAGAAATAATTTAGGTATAATAGATAAATAGTAAATACAAAGTCGTATTTTTGTTTGTTGATTGAGGATTTCAACACTTTGTAGTGGTTATTTTCAGAAAAATCTGTATAGTCATTTGATAAATATATTATGGATATTATCAGTTTCGTATAATATATAGGTAGGAAATTGAGCAAATGATAATGTATATTAATTGTGGATATGTCTATTTATTTATTTATTTATTTATTTATTTATTTATTTAATGTTACACTGTTCTACAGGTTAAACCCAACTACAGAACAGGGAAATAAGTATAACTAATAATACAGTTTTTCATATTTTGAAAAGTATATAAATATAGGCAAGACCTTAGCTGAAATAAAAAGATTTAATCGCAGAGATAGAGCAATGAAAGATATCTGGCTGATAATTTGATAAATTATTGTATATATAGAACACATGTTATGGAGAGGAGAATATTTCAGAATATTTGTTCGTGGTATCGGAAGATAGAATGAGAATGTATTGAAAACTCTAGAAGTTTGTCTAGGCAGTGAAACTCAGCTTCTGCAAAATGTGTGAGTCAGTGATAATGTTATTCACCACTTTGAAAAGGAACACTGTGGATTGACAATCACGACGGCAACTAAGGCTTTTCATAGCATGTCTAGCTAATAATGTATCATGAGGAAACCCGATTGGTGGATATACATTATCAGATCTATAGGAAAGAAGTTTTTGTCAGATAAGTTGTGAAACACTCAGTATATTGAACAACAATAGTCTCCGTCTCATACTTGAGCAATAAATATTGGAAATCAGTTGATAAGAATCATCGATATCAGGAAACAAGGTTGAATTGAAAAATTTCATCCTGTATTTCAATCAGAGGCGAATATCCGAAAACGTCTCGAGTTAATAGTCTAATATGAAAAATGGATATCGAAAAGGCCGTTTCTGAATATACTGAATCGAATGGGCCATGATTTTATTCATCGTTTTTGATTTTTTTTACTTACTCTCCGTCTTACATTGTCCTCCACGAAACATGAGAACAGTTCTTCCCGAAAAAAATCAAGAAATGCAAGACTTTCGAAAAAAAAATAATTTTTGTTCCAATGGCCAATTGAGGAAAAATCATCATGTATCATAATATGACTGACTCTTGATCAAAAAAAATTTCTCGAGTTCTGGCAGCATTGGAAATGTAGACCAAAGTGTAATAATAATAATAATAATAATAATAAAGCGGCTTTATTCATCAAATCAATATTTATACATAAAATACAAAGCATTGAATCAAATATGAAAAATAACTGATTGATGAAAAGGCGAAGTGTCAGCTATAGCTGTTTTTCAACTTGACCTCACAAAAACAAAGAACAAAAAATAAAAAAGAAATACATGAGATTTATAATATTATTGCAGAGTACCTATACTTACTAAAATTAGAAATGAAAAAAAAAAACAAATAAAAATAAATCTTAATATTTTTGTGGTATATTTATATTCGAACATGTCAAAGCTGAGTTCCGGAGCGAAATTCATTATCGAATTAATACAAACTGACTATTTTTCATCAGGAGTTTTAATCTTTTCTTGAAGTTATTGAGTGTATTATAGTCTGAATTCATTAGGCAACTGGTTGTAAAACTTAGCAACATTGTATGAGAAACATCTAGTGTATATTGCAGAATAGTGAGGAGGAATGACAAGAACGTGTCTATTGCGTGTGCAGAGGTCGTTCAGTACTGGAAACGTTCTCAATTTATCAAAATGATAATTGTAGATCGTTCAACCTCAGCCAACCAGAGTTACTGAATTCTGTACTAATGTGTTCAAATTTCCGAATACCGAATGAAAGTCTGATGCATGAGTTTTGTATTCTTTGAAGACGATACTGGTCAGACTTCAAGAGTGCTGGACCGT